GTACACATGTTTATATGTTATATGCTTATGTTATTTAGACAATTTTTTTAAATAAAAAACAATTTATTACTTTTAAATATTATCAAATAATAACAGTCTAAACAATACAATATACATCTATTTACATATATATATATATATATATATGTCCATTTTGTAATTTTGTTTTTTAAACAACCCGATTTTTGAAAATTAAAAAAAAAGAAAAATGAATTATAACTTAATAAGTTAAAATAAAGTAAAACCATATCAAGTAAATTTGGTTAAATTAAGTAAAGTTGTATTATTAAATAATATATATCAAAAAAAAAAAAAAAAAAAAAAAAAAAAAAAAAAAAAAAAAAAAAAATCATAAATAACATTAAAAATAACATTAAAAATAACATTAAAAATATATATATACAACTAAAGTATGCAAATATTAAAAATTGTCAAAATTTATTATTTAAAAAGACATGCAAAAATAAGTTTGAAAAAGAAAAATAAAAAAAGAGAACGTCAGTTTGGTAATAACTTGACAAGTTATATATATATATATATATATACATTCATATGTTAATAAAAACAAAAAGGTTAAAATGAAAAATAACAAAAAAATAACATAGACACTATATTATATGCAGTATATTATTAATTATTATTATAACTTTTACAACATTCATAAAATATATATAATGTGTACAAAAACAAAAAAGTAAACAAACCTTTGGATGTTATATTTACTTATAAATATAAAATTTAAAATATGTTTATATACAACATTTACACAATTACTTTATGCTATTGAATTTTGATTTATTCATAAAAGGTAAAATTATATAATAAAAAATGCTATTAAAAATGCAAATATATATATATATATATATATATATAATTACGTGTAGTTTCGTTATTTATATATAAAAATGTATTAAAACGCGCTCTAAACAACAAATAATTATTTATTTTTTATCAACAGCAATGTTACCCTTCTCTCAAAACTCACAACTTCCATTACAAACCTATTGAATTTCTTATTTGTTAATTAAAAAGCGTCTTACAAATAAATAACTTATACTAAATAACTTATACTAAATAACTTATACTAAGTAAAAAAATGCACAGTATAAAATACACGGTATAAAATGCACGGTATAAAATGCACAGTATAAAATGCACGGTAAAAAGTCCATGCTAATTACAAAATAGACATGTACTTTTTATTTTTATTAACTTTTTCAATGGTTTAGGTTTACAGTTTCTCTTGCTTCATTTTATTAATGTTCATATTTTTATCCTTATAATATTCATATTTATTATATGACATTGGATCATTTAAAACATTATCCAACACATTATTAAAACCATCAATTAATTTAATCCCTGTTTTTTCAGTATCTGGAATAACTATTTTTTTAAAATCTTCTGGCAAATTTTTATGTTTCTCTAATGTAGTACTATCTAAAGCACAATTTATTTTATCAATTAAATCGCTTCCTGTTTTCATTGTAGGTCTTTCAGTTCTTGTATAATTTGGGTCCGGATTATAAAAAGGATGTAAATCATATAAATTAGTATTATTATTTTTTACTATATTTTTATATGAAACTTCACACATATCCATCATTGTATTTACAATATCATCTAAATATGTTCCTAATGCTAGTGTTAATTTTTTAAATATATTAAACCTTTTATTATCTTGATTAAAAGGCATATTTGTATAAATAGGTGGTCTCTGTTTAATAATATATTCATATTTAGGTTTACTTGATTTACATCCATTTAATATACAATTTGTTTTTTGTTTTATAAAAGAACATCCATTTTCATTTTCTTTCATTAAATAAACATATGGTGGAGTTGCATAAAAATTATTAAAATCATTCATATAAGGATATTCATCTACATAATTTCCATACGTTAATGAATTACCAACGTTATTATTTTTATTATAATTATTATTTGGATATATATATGGACTTATATTAAAACAACAGCCTTTTGTTTTTGAATCGAAATCATCACGATATGCAATAGGGATTTTTCTGTCTACATTTTTATTTTTATGATATATGTTAGGTAACATTCGATTGGTATTATTATATACTTGTTTATTTTGTACATCCGAATTATAATTATATAATAAATTATTTTCATTTATTTGATTGATATTATTTGGATATTTTTTTACTTTTGGATAAGTACTTTTGTTTGTATTTAATGTTACATTATTATTTGTAGCAACAAACTCATTGTGTTGTTTGGGAGGTATAATATTATTATTATTGTTATTATTGTTGTTATTATTATTAAATTTATTCATATTATAATTGTATTCATTTAATGTTTTTTTCTCTATATATGGCTGATATCCATTTTGAATAATACTATTATTATTATTATTATTACTACCATTTGGTACATATGAAATTTGTTTTATACCTAAATATTTCATATAATTATCTGTATAATTTTTTAAGTTTTTCACATCATCATTTTTCATATCATCATTTTTCATATCATCATTTTCCACATCACCAACATATACCATATTATATGAGGTTTCTTTGTAAAAATTAGGATCATAAGTTATAAAACTTTTTTTTCTATTATTAATAAAACTAACATCCTGGATTTCGTCGCAAATACTTTTTTCTAAAGCATTTGAATCGTGTGACAATTTACCAGTTGATATTGGTACAGTCAAATTGCTTTTTATGCTACCTGATTTATTCATTTTGTAAAATTTATAATCTTATATATGTACCTTATAAATTGCTTTTTATAAATATTATTTTTATATAAAAAAAATCATTTACTTATAAACAAAATGATTAACAAATATTTAACAGGTATTTAAAATAACAAATAAGAAAAAATGTACAACTTAAATATATATATATATATATATATATATATACATGTAGTATTTATGAACAATATTTGTTTATAAAAGAGAAAGTGCAAAATGAAAAAAGAAGAAAGAAACAATATAAATTAAATTAAAAAGTGATCGCTATGTGTTTGTATGTTGTTAAAAATATCTAGCCGAGTCTAGTCTAGTCTATTTTTTTTTTTTTTTTTTTTTTTTTAAATTTAATAATGAAACAAGTAATGCCTACATAAATCAAATGAAACTTATTAAACTATATAATATACATTTATGTTGTTGAAAATGAAATATAGTTTCATTCTTAATTTTATTTTTATTTTATTTATTTGGAACTGCTTAAAAAAAAAAAAAAAAAAAAAAAAAAAAAAAAAAAAAAAAAAAAAAAAATTGCACATCATATAAACACACACACACAAACATTTAATATATTTTTCATTTTTTTCTGAACATTCATAATTTTTTTTAGTTATTTTTAGCTATTTATAACCAATCTTATGTTAAACTTAGTAACCGTAATAATTAAAAAAAAAAAAAAAAAAAAAAAAAAAAAAAAGTAGTAGTAGTAAACACTTGTATTTTTTTTTTTTTTTAGTTCTCATTTTTTTACCATATGTCTTGTAAAATTAACTATTAAAATTGTAAAAAAAAATAAATTAAATACAATTTAAAATTTACAATAAAAATTTCCACAAACAACATCTTACTTATTATATATATGTAAATATATGTGTGTATATACGTTTTATTTTGCTATGAAAATTATGAATAAACTAAATTAGAACTTCCATATAAAACACATGCAACAAATAAAAATATGTGACAACTAATTGTTACAACATTTGCATTTTTTTTTTTTTTGTATTAATTTCTTTATACACAAGCGTCATAAATATTTTTTATTTTGTGCTTTTACAAATTTCTTTTAAGAAAATATTAATTTAATTTAAAAATGAAATAACAAATTGTGTTAACAGTTTACTCTTAGAAATTTTCTTTCGAAAAAAAAAAAAAAAAAAAAAAAAAAGATTATTTTTTTTGGTCTCTAAATACTGTTATAAAAAAATAATTTCATTTATTTACATACATCTATAAGCCCACATATACATAATATATATACATATTTAATAATGTAAATTTCCTTTGTAATTTTTTTTAAATTAAAACTTTTGAGAAATTAGGATATATGTTTTTTAACTTATATTCGGTTAAACACTAACATGCAACATTATATGGTACCGCGTTAATGCCGCGCCAAGCCACATTAGCGATTTATTAAAATGTTAAACATGTTGTTATGTCATAAATTAACAGCCCTCATTTAATACATATATATATAATAATTTAATTTTTTTAATTATTTAATTATTAAGAATGTGTATAATTTTGATAGAATGTGCATTTGCTTTTTTTTTATTCAAAAGCTTAGCTACTATAATTTTTATTTTTTTCATTAAATTACATACAAGGGTTTAGAGCGCTACTTAAAATACAAGTGGTATCGTGTTTAGGCAAAAAAAAAAAAAAAATAATAAAAATCAAAAAAAAACTAATTTATATACATATGCATAAATCACAGAAAAATAAAATGATATTTTCATTTATATGTATATTAATAATTCGATTAATTTTTGTATCCTCTAGACTTTCTTCTTCCTCTAGCCTTTTCAAATTTTCTTCCTTTTGAACGGACATATGGTCTAGCTTTGGATTTAGGTTGACCTGGTGCTTTACCGAAATGCTTTTCAGCTGTCCTTGCTTTAGTTGGACCTCTTAAAAGTACACATTTGCGTCCAGTTGGGTGTTTCAATGCTAACTCGTCAAAAGTTAAACACTCTCCACCTGCATCAATAATTCTTTTTCTAGCTCCTTCAGTAAATCTCAATGCACATACTTTTAATTTTTTAACTTTAAATAATCTTATATCATCTAAAAAAAGACGTATAAAATTGGAAATCGGAAAAAATATATATGTTTACATATAGGCAAATAAGGGAAACGTATATATATATATATATATATGTATATTGAAAAAATGTAATAAACATGAATTTTTTTTTTGTTTTATTTTTGAGTAAATTACAATTTAAAAAAAAAATAACAAATAAAAAAAAAATAATGCATGAATAATATCAGAACGTTCTACCATCTCCATGTGTTGTGTCAGAAGACCGTCGTGATACGTAGAAACTGAATCATCATTTATATTCATTATATGCACAAAAGTATTATATATGTAAACATGTATAAATAAAATGCTATGTGAGGCAAATTATTTTTTTTTTTTTTTTTATTGTTATTACCAGTTATTGTTCCAACTACAACTGCTATACTGTCAGGGTGTTTAAGCATATGTTTTTGTAATTTTGATAATGACAATGGGACTTTAAATCTTTTAGGCATAATAAGTCGTTTAGCAATTATTTTGTTAAATTTTTTATCAGTTCTCCTTGCTAAATATTGATAAAGTTTTACTAATATCTTCAGATACGGGTTTTTGGAAACCAGGTGCTTTCTTCCATGCTTTTTTGTTCTACCTACATTTTTAAGTGCGATAGCCTTAAGAAAAAAATAGGAGAAAAAAAAAAAATATATGTACATATATTTCCACAACAATATGTATATGCAAAACGGTTTAAAAAAAGTATAAGAGTAAAAATATGCATATATATAAAGGTACATATATACTTTGTTTCAATGCTGTTGAGCATTTTATTATAACAGTTAACAAATAAAATAACTCTTCATATTAAAACAAAACTAAGAACTATACATACGCATACAAACATATGTACTGTTTTACAAACGTAACATATTTACTTACCATATTTATCAATCAGTTTTACATATAAAAAATTATAAAAAAAAAATATATACTTTTAAAAGCAAGGATACTTATACAATAAATGCGTTAAAACTTATTTTTAATAAAAGAGAAAATATCAAGTTATTTCTCTTATAAATATGTTTTTTAATTATAAAAATATAATTTTATATAAAAAAAAGTTTCAAAAAAAAAAAAAAAGAAATGTTCTTTTTAAAAAAAAATAATGTTTTTGTTTTTAAAATAAAATATAATATTAATTTTTTTTTTTTTTTTATATTATATATAATGCTTATGTAAATATATATAGTTGTTTGGATTTGTACATGTATATAATTTTTGATAACATAAAATTGCAATATATATAATATATGCTTTATGTTATATTAATTGTTCCTTTTAATATGTAGTATAAATAAACATAGCTTTATTAAAAAAAAAAAAAAAAAAAAAAAAAAAAATACCAATAATATATCAACCCTACAAGGGGTGTTTTTTTGCAATAATCTCTTTTATAACAATTCTTTGTTAAGTGTATAAAGGGATAATTATTATGCATATATGTTAAATGTTTTCGTATGGTTAGTATATACATATTGTGCGTATATTTATATATGTAAGTACAAATTATATATGTTAAATAGTTCGTTTTAACGCTTTATGAAGAAAAAAAAAAAAAAAAAAAGCCTTAATGCAACACAACTAGCTTTTAATAAAATAAATAGTGCTTAAAGGTTTGACTTGAATGTATATATATATATATATAAAAATATACAATGTAGTACATTTTAAATATATGCACTTGCTATTTTTTTTTTTTAATGTATAATATGGTGTCCTATATTTAAAAATAAAAAGGGTATATTTTTATTAATACAGTACAGCACTACATATGCTAATATAGTTCATATATACATTAACACAACATTTTTTTTTTTTTTTTTTTTTCTTCCTTTTTGCCTCGTAAATATTAAAAAAAAAAAAAAAAAAAAAAAACCTTTATTTAAATGTACGTATAATTGTATACATAAACATTAATTCAAAGTATATATTTTTTTGTAATACATTTTACATATACAATATTTTATGTATGAGTATGTATACACAAGTATTTTTTCAAAAAATCATTTTATTTTAATTTTTTCTGTTTTAATTTTTTGAAGGGCAAAGCTATATAAAAAAAAATTTATTTTTAAACCCAAATAATAACAAAAGAAGTAAAAAAGAAGAAAAGGAAAGAAAAGCAAATTAGTATAAGAAAAATAATAAAATTACTAAAAGAACGACATAATATAAATCAAATAAATTCAAATTTTAAAAAATCTTGAAACCATTACTTTTTTTTTTTTTTTTCTACTATCATTCCTAAGTAATAAAAATAATTTGTTTTATTTATTTATTTTTTTTTTGTATATTCGTACAAGTAATTTTACATGTAGTTGTATATATATAAATATATATATATATAAATTTGTAAGTGAAAATACGATTTACTACTTATTAATAAGTACATGTGACTAATTATTAGAGTGACTCTTTACTTGAATAAAAAATTAATTAGCACTAGATAAAACAAATATATGTTTATATTAATTCAACTTTTTACTTTTTATTTTTAGTTTATTGAATTTAAAAATGCCAAAAATTTTAGATAGGTCATTAAGAACGAATGTAAGTAACACAAAAATATGAATAAGATATATTTATTATATGTTTTATTAAATTATGATTATATATATATATATATATATACTACGTTTTGCAAGACTATGTAAAGATTATTTCTTTTTAAATGCTTAGTTTTGTATACATGTTTGACAAAATAAAGTGATTGTGAAAAAAAAAAAAAAAATATATACACAGACCCCAGCGTTTTATGTTTTACCACATGTTTATATAAATACATTTATACTTATCTCTCTGCTTCCTCTTGTCATTATATACACATATATACATATAGGTGTGTGTGTGTGTATGGTTATACGTATAAGTTTCTATTACATTATTATTATGTAGTTTAGAGTAACGACCGTTTTTTGTATTATATTGACACATTTTATTTAAACATGACAAAAAGAAACATATTTTGATTTTTCGTTTATTCACATTTTTTTTATTTTATTTTATTTTTTATTTTTTTTTATTTTTTATTTTTTTTTATTTTTTATTTTTTTTTATTTTATTTTATTTTTTATTTTTTTTATTTTTTATTTTTTTTATTTTTTATTTTTTTATTTTTTTTATTTTTTTGGTATTTGTTTTTCGCAGATAAAACAATTCCATATTGTTGGAAGAGCTACCCCTACTGAGAAGGACAAGAACCCAACCGTGTATAGAATGTGCATTTTTGCAAAAAATGACACTAATGCAAAATCAAAATTTTGGTATTTTATGAAAAGAATAAACAAAATAAAAGAATCTAATGGTGAAGTATTAGCATGTGAACAATTAAAAGAACAACAACCATTTAGAATAAAGAATTATGGTGTGTTATTAAGATATTCAAGTAGAACCGGTACACATAACATGTATAAAGAGTTTAGAGATACGACAAAAGAAGGAGCTATCGCTCAATTATATTCTGAAATGGCTGGAAGGCATCGAGCAAGAGCTTCTTCAGTTAGCATAATCAGAATATCAGAAATCCAAAAATCACTTGTTAGGAGACCTCATATTAAGCAATTACTTAAAAAGAAATTAAGATTCCCTGCTTTACATTTACCAACATTAAACAAAGAATTTAGAAGAAAATTTGCATCAAAAAGACCAGTTACATATCGTATGTAAATTGTGTGTTTTCTATTTTTTCTAATTTTTTTATTTATTTTTTTACTTTTTTTTTTTAATTTATTTATTTATTTTTTTATTTTATTTTACTTTTTTTTACTGTATAATTATATATTTGTTGAATTATATTGCAAACATTTATCATCTGGTATATTCATACAATTAACATATAAAAACTTAAATGAGGGAAAACATATAAAGTATATACACACATTTCTTCGCAATTTAAAATCTCTACAATTATTACTTTTTATATAAACAATTTTTTTTATTAAAACTTAAATATATTACTATTTGTTTTAAAGGTTTTATCATACCAAATTGCTTACGTTAATATATAGTAATTAAATGAAAGTTTAACAAAAATAAAAATATATAGAAACAAAAAAAAAGTATTTACAATAGTACTATTTTATTTGTTTTATTTGTTTTTGTTTTTTTTTTTTTTTTTTTTTTACAGTCTTTACTAAATTTAATATAAATATTCTGCTCTTATATAATTTTTTTTTTTCCTTTTATATAGTAAAAACGTTATCACCACATGATAAATATATATTTTGATGTTGCTAAAAAAGTATTAACAAAAATATCTTAACCTTTAACTATTGAAAAATGTAAAAAAAAAAAAGCCATAGTTTAAAAAAATTGTAGTTATATAATTTACTTTTGCTACAACTTTATTGTTTTATATATTATTTTCTTCATGTTTAACATAGCTTTTTTATTTATACATATTTATATATATACATATTTATATATATACATATTTATATATATACATATTAAAAATCTATTTTTAGCAAAATGAAGCAAAAAAAAAAAAATTAGTAAAATAAAAAATGTTTAAGTAATATAATTTTTTTTTTTTTTTTTTTTTAAATATACATTAACAGTAAGCATAAAAAAAAAAAAAAAAAAAAAAAAAAAAAGGTATATTTTTTTATAAGTAACCATTTTGGCATTTTTTAAGTACTTATATATATTTAAGAGTTTTATATGTTTATTGGCTCTCTTCGGAGATGCCGTTTGTTAAAATTGGAACGATACAGAGAAGATTAGCATGGCCCCTGCGCAAGGATGACACATGACGTTCGAGAAGGTTAACGATTTTTTTTTTTACTTTTTTATTCAGGAACAAAATTAATTCACATTTTTTTATATTAAACAATCATTTATGATAATATTTTATTTTATTATTTTTTTTTTTTTTTTTAACATCAAACTTTTTTATAACAAATAAAATAAAATTTTTTTTTTTTTTAACTTTAGTTATACATTTAACTAATTTTTAATCTTATATTTTTATTTAATCCATTTTTAGCAAAAAAAAAAAAAAAAAAAAAAAAAAAAAACTTAAAAACTTAAAAACTTAAAAACATTTTGTCCAAATAAATATAAAATTTTAAAAATATATCTTTCATAAAAAACCAAATCAAATTTCTTTTTTTTTTAACCAAATTGTTAACATGATTAAAAAATCAGTCATATTATTGTAAACTTTATATATATTTTTGTAATTTATTTAAAGAAATGGCTTTACCATATATATTATATGTGTTAATATATGTGATGAGCTTCATTCTTGATTATATAAAGG